TGGCCTGCAGCTGGGTACTGATGGGGGCTCATGAAGGGGAGGTTGGATGAGGAGCAGATAGTTGGGTTCACCAGCTAGTATTGCCAGGTGTCCAGTTTTGCACCCGACAGTCCAGTTTTGGAGCTTTCTGTTCTGGAAACCAATGGAGAAAATAGGAACGTCCGGTATTTTCTAAATCGGATGGGATGTCGATTGGGATGGAATGTCAAGTGCGTCCGGTATTTTTGTTGGAACCATCTGGCAACGCTATCCCCAGGCACTTGGAGCACAGTGGGAGGCAGGGAAACGGGGCAGAGGGTCTGATGGGGGGGAAAGTCCGGGACGACGTGCCTCCTCCCCCTTGCATTAGAGACACTTGCACAGCATCAAGCCATGTCAGTGGCATGCCCGCAGTATATCAGTGTAGCGTGTAATCAGGAGGGGCTCACACCCGTATAGCAGCACCGGTGCTGTCTAGGATGAGATTGGCAGGGTTTAAAGATGCCCAACAAAATGTCCATACAGCAAAACTAATTGGGGGAGGGGGATTGAGGCCGTGAGGAGGGGCTGGGGCGGCTGCTGTAGCTGTGAAGCTAGTGAGATACTGTGCAGAAATGCCAGTGGTAGGCAGGGCTGAGGGGGAGTAGAGCAGGCTTGAGCAACAGCAAAAGAAGCCATAGCAACCCCCACATTAAAAGCAACCATTGTAAAAACCAAAACCAGCATCCAGGCGCTTATTCCTGTAACCTTTGCCCTCCCTTCCCTCCTCCTTGTTTGTTGCTTTCACTCACTGCATCTACAGGTAGGCCCTAGTCCTGCAGATGCCTGCGCATCTTTTTGAATGTTGGGAGCAAGGCTACCCCTTTGAAGCAAACGAAACATTAATGGGTGAAGCTCAGGGTCCCCTCTTGGGCAGATGTATAGAGGGGGAAACTGAGGCACACTGTGCAATGACTTGGCCAAGGTCACACATCTATAGCAGAGCCCAGAATAAAACCCCACCTCCTGCCCCCCAGTCGTGTGTCCCTGCCCTTTCCGTGGAGTACGAGTGGGTGGAAAAGGACGGATTTGCTTCCAGTGATTTTACTTCGGAAAAATCTGCTGAAGGACTGAACCGGCTCGGATTTTACTAGGAACCCCTCGGTGTTTCAAGCCTCTTGTAACCAGCCAGCACTGGATTGATTGAAACCTTCACCAATGGGATTGGCAGCTGCTGGAGCTGACCAGTGAGTGGAAGCCAGAGGCGGGGCTTTGCTTTGTGGCCACTTTGAGACTTCTGTGGCTAGAGGTGCCTTGGGGAGCCACGGAGAGGCTGGTGCACAGACATGCTCTTCAGCGCTGGCAGCTGGCTGCGTTTTGTGCTCTGTCTCTGCGCCTGCCCTTTTGCTGATGGTGAGTACGGGCCACCCGGGGAGAAGGAGAGGCTAGAGAGTACCCTGGTGCCTGCATTGTGTGGGCGCCTTTGCCACTCTGCTTGGCGCACGCTTGCAACGCAGGACTGACAAGCAAGCCTTTAAAATGCACATCCAGCTGCCTCTTCCAAAGTCGCTGGCCCTTGTGCTCAGAAACTGCTGCCCTGAAATGCAGGGGAGGGGTTAAAAAACCTTGAGCGCTTCTCGGCTGGGGGGGAATTTGTGCTTGCTGTTTATTCTTTGTATTCTCATCATGCTCTGCTCTGTTGGCTGCCGGGAAGCCCTGCCAGACCTGTCTGGTTTTTAGTGTGTCTGTAAGTTCCCATTTTCAGTCGTGAAGGGGTGGCAGTCCGGCTGGGGCCATGTAGCAGGAAAATCTCTCTGCACAGGATCCAGTCTTAATAAATGCCTTGTGCCGGCGCTCTGAAAGCTGTGAGTGAGCCAAAGCAAAATATAATGCAACATCCTCTTGCCCTGGCATAAGATCCCTCCAGGTCACCGTGGAGGGGGCCCAGCAAGGGAGAATCTTGCATTGCCACTCGGCTTGAGAGACAATTTTGACCGCTGTGGTTGCCCATTAGAACACGGTAAATCAGCCCTGAAACTCGCACAGCGATTAGGAAAGGAAGATGGAGGGAAAGCTGGATTCAGGGGCAGCCAGCAGGTAAAGAAGAGGAACTGAGGCGGGTTAAAAGATGGAGAAAGCAAAGGAGAAAATCCCAGAGGGGAGATTGCTCCGCTGGGTTTGGTAAATGACCTGTGTTCAGTTCGGAGGCGCGTTCCAAAGGGCTGGCCCAGGCAGGCAGCCTGGTTTTATGTCACGCTCTGGAGGAGTCTCGTGATGGGTCCTAGCTGCTTGCCCAAATTAATGTTCTGGCTGTGGCTGGGGGGTTGCTCGGTTCACTGAGGTTAGCGGAAGTGCTGCTACGAGACGTCAAAATGCTCTCAGCAGGGCAGAGGGTTTGGGCTCCATCTGGAGCAGCGCTGGACACCAGCATCTCCTGTGGGTTCTCAGCACCTCTCCGGATTAGGCCCTTCCTTGTCATTTATCCTACTACTCTCCCTTCCCGCTTCCTCTGCTTAGTGTAGTAATTATTAACTGCCTCACTAAGGATCTCGGACTTCAGAGTCAGGGAGCCCATGAGAGGCAGGTAAGTAAACAGGCCCCAGACTGTACAGATTGGGAAACTGAGGCATGGAGCGATGAAAGTGACTTGCCCAAGGACGCTCAGCCAGTCAGTGGTGGCCCCAGGAATAGAACCCACATCCCCCGACTGCCCTGCTTTGCCCACTAGACACCCTGCCCCCCACTGACAGGCGTCAAGTGGTGCCTGTAGTAATTTAGAGAGTGAATTGGCCTGCTAGAGTGTCTGCTGTGCTTCACCCACATTAACTGTGCCTCCTGACTCCCTTGTGCCATGGTCAAGTGGCAGCCCCGTGTGAAACTGAGGCAAGGATAGGGTAAGGGGCAATGTGTTTGGAAAGTGACTAGAGATTTTGGGAATCCAGCCTGACACACCTCCAGAGTCCAGGCACCAGCAGCTCCACTGACTTGGTCTGGGGGCTCAAGCACCTCAGTAAATTACTCCCCAGGTGCCTAAAACTGGGCCATGCAAAAATTGGGGGTACCCAGTAGGGATGTGAAAGGTTTATATGGGGGGCTGCTCTGGAGGTCTGCCATGGACAGGGGCTGCTCCAGGTGTCTGGAGCATCCCCTGTCCGCGGCTGGCTCAGGAGGCGGAGTTTAACCAATTAAATGGATTTCACATCCCTAGTGCCTAGAGATTAATGACACTAGTGAAAATTCTGGTCAAACTGACTTGCCCAGGGTCTCACCAGGTTTCGGTGCTACAGAACCTAGATTTCCCAATGCCCATTCTCCTGCTGTCACGGCTAGCCAGTGCTCCCTCCCTAAGATGTAAGAGAGCGTCCTGCGCCTTCACGGCCTCTTGCAGGAAGTGCTGATGGAAGTAGGGTTGCCAGGTATCTGGTTTTCACCCGGTAATTGCATCTTCTGTCCGGTAAAAAAAAAACCAGAAAATACCAGACAGAAGATGCAATTACCGGACTATCCAGGTGAAAATGTTTGGTCTCCTTTGTTTTTTGCTCAACCAATTTCCCCCGCCACGTTTGGGATTTTTTGTGAAGGTATCTGGCAACCTTAGATGGAAGGGGCCGTCTCCAGGGGAGACCGTCGCCCCCTGCCCAGGCTCAGTTGGGACAGAGAGAGAGAACACACCTGAAAGTCGCGGCATACCCCCGACCGCCTCTGTGCTGCAGCGAATCCAGCCTGAAGGTTTCCACCCACTGCTTGTCAACAGGCCCCTGAGTGCCTCCCTAGGAAAGAACCAGCTGCTGAAACAGCCGCGGAGGCAGGGCGTTCGGAGCGCTTCATTAAAGCGCTTCTGTAGCAGTGCCTTGGGATCCGGCTTGCCGTTGTTCTGCGGCGGCTGTGTCCGGAACGCAGCTGGGTTAAGCCTCCTGGAGCTTTGTGAACCAGGTCTTGAGGGGGCAGGTGCTGCGCCCTGGAAAAGGGATCTCGTTGTGCCAGGATGGAGAGGGCTGGCTGGCCAGGTAGCTGTACTTCCCGTGCAGGGGTTATCTGTGATCTGACCTGTTTGCTGGGAGGGATGTAATTCACACTGGACACAGAACTGGTACTGAGCATTGTCCCAGAGCGTGGCATCAACAGACCTTTTCATAACCCTGACTGCAGTATAGCTTCCGTGAGGCAGCCTTCGCTGCATATGGCATGGAGTTAGCATAAAAAAGTTATAGCCTATGTGTTGGGAAAAGATCCCATGCTGCATTTTCACAAGCACAGGTAGCTGTCCTGGTCAAATTACACCAGGAGCTGTTTCAACTCTGCCTCCCTCAAACACCCCTTTTGAGTGCAGTGGGATGCCATATTCGTGGTTGCCCGCGCCAAACTGTTATGCAGCATTGTTGTGCGCTGTGAAACAGCTGCCCTGTGCCACCCCAGAACAGGCCGCATTGGAGAGGCAGGGGGAGG